AATATAACCCTGGGATAATATATCGTTGGGTAACATACGAGCACAATTTCCTCGTCGCGTCGCCCCAACATAGAGGCAGTGAGCCGAAGGGACTCGGGATTTGAAACGTGTGGGATGGGAAATTCGACAAGTTGGACAAATTCTGTTTAGTGAACTCCTTTCTGTATTAACGCGAAATCGATGCCATGTTCCGGGGTGGGACCGCAAACACGCCAGGTGCAGCCGCTGTTAAAAAGAGAGGAGGAATAAGAAACTTACTCATTATATTTGCAAGGGAGAAACCCGTTATTCTGAACAGGGGTGATCTGATCACCCTAAGTATCGCTTTAACCGCAAGCTTAATGTGGAGTATCTGTCAAGGGAGAAGTTGGATTGCGGAATCCGGAAGGCCTTCCAAGGAAGTAGGTAGGTCTGGTAAACGGATAGCTCGCTTACTAAAGAGGGCTCTGGCGCCGGGGTCTTTGGGCCCAGAACTAAACTCCCACTGCGTCTCGGCGTATCCCGCATTTGAAGGGGAAGGGTCTAAGACAAGAATAATAATCTCCGGCAGCAAGACTGCGATGAAGACTCAAGTGCGAGGCATCCGGCATCATTGTGTATTAGTGTGAGTACCGGGCACGCTAGTGTAAGGGTATAATGATATGGCGAAGCCTCTCGCGAAAGCAGGACCAGCGGGCAGCTTGTTGATTTGAGCCAGCCCTAGGGGTGTCTGGGAGTCAGGCGGATAACACTATCTGAAATGTTGAAGCATGTCTAGACATCGCCGCGTAAGGCAAGGGTGCGCATCATAGTGCCCAGTGCTAAGGATGAGCGCTTTTGCTTATATTTGGGAGGAGTCAACCTAAGGTTCTTGGTAGGACTGTTGTCGTCCATCACACGTTGAGGCGTCACCTGATGTGATGTGAATGGTGAATGATCGAATGAACAAGGCAACCTGTTGCATACAGTCATGGTGGTGGTAGATATTTCACGAACTGTGATTTAGTAACTGATACTCCTAAATCACGAATTATGAGTGTAACCACATTCCGTGGAAAAGCGTGATGTGATCATGACTTGAGGAACTAAGCGATTTACGGCACGCGCGCTAATGTTGAATGTGTGACGTATATCAGAAAACGCCTCCAGCCCGCCGCGAGCCTGAGACTACTATAATTTAGCAGGCGGAAAGGTAGACGCATTTCATGTACTGTGGGTTGTCAATTGTGACACTCTCTGCTAAAATCAACTTCATCCATCTGGGAGCCGAGGCAGCATGATAAAGTTACTGTAGAGTGACAAATAAATACTTTGGACAGATATTTTGGCGTAAAATACGGTAAACCTTAAGTGGTTGCCACATGAGTGACCCCGAGACCTTCAAAAACTGAGAAATCCCAATTTCATTATTATTCAACCCAATCCGGATGTTGTCTGATTCAATTAGTTTGCACACTCTGTCCTGAGGTTAGAGCTAGCCGTGTTGCTAATTTCCTCATCCAAATATCTACAGCGCTTACCAGCAACCCCTTTGGTTGGTTGAGAACAACCACAGTATCTATGTTTCAGTTGAGATGGCCTAAGCCTGTAAATGCCCTTCAAAAACGGTCTTATGTCTGCATCGTTAGTAACATTTTGGGTAAAAGACTCAACAATTATTTCTTAATCTCTTATCACCTGTAAGGTAAGAAAACAGACATGTATTTCTTCCCGACAAAGGTCCTACCATAATCTAAGCCCACAATACATGATGGATTATCGATGTTGATTGGAATGACAGCTTTCCAGTGACGACAGCCAGGGTAAGCTTCAGAATTAGTGGGAGCGGCGCCCCGGGTCCTTCCATCAGATCCTTGCGTTACTTCCAGAAGTGAAATTTCAGAAACACCGAATACTTGAACCACAATCAGGTCGGTGACAGGTGCAGCTCCCACTCCGTTTCCACGTCCCACTGATGCAAAGCCATCTCTACCAGTATTACTCCTAGATTTTATATTTGAGGCGAGCGCAGTAAGATTTCTCTCTTTACACAATTGCCATAGTTTTCCCGCAACCTGGTCCAGATGTGGAAACTCAATACCCCTGACCGCATCTGCCAGTTTCTTTGAGCCCCAGCCAGACCTTAAGTTATATTATGTTAGTAGAATAGTAGCGATAAAATCCCCTTGAGAATTTTACAAGACAAGAAATTTCACTCGTTAGTATATAGTCGGCTGTAACGAAATGAGAGACAGGCTGACATCAAGATCCCGATGTTCAGCGTGAGGTTTCGGTCTCTGTCTTGGTTGCTGTCCATTATTTCCCTTACTAGGTTTAGTAATGTCTGTATCGTCCGCGC